AATCCTTTGTTTAAGGAGCCCTGCTGGCATAGTGGTTATGCATTGGGCTTTGATCTGTGTGCTTGGCAGTTTGAAACCACCAGCAGCTCCATGGGAGAAAGACTGGGCTTTCTACTCCTATAAACAGTTATGGTCTCGGAAACTCTCAGGGGGTCACTATGAGTCAGCATCGACTCCCTGTAGTGAGCAAGCAAATATTTTGTTTTAGGGTGTGTACTGTGCATTGTAGGGAGCCCTGGTGGTGCATTGATTAAAGTGCTTGGCTGTGAACCCCAAGGTCAGTGGTTTGAACCCACCATAAAGATTTATAGCCTGGGGAGTTCCGGGGAGCTGCTCCACTCTATCCTGTCAGTTCACTGTGGTGGGACTCGCCCACCGCCATGGTGTGTGGGTGTGAGCTGATGCACTGGAGGGTGGTTAACAGCATCCTGGCTTTACCTGTTCGATGGCAGTAGCACCATGCCCCCCACTGTGATGGCTGATAGAGTCCCCAGATATCACCCAATGTCCCATGGGGACCCAAATTCACCCTATTGGAGACCCACCGGTCTAAATCATCTCCACCCCTTTTCTTCCCTCCCAAGTTCCTCACTGTCACCCTCAGTGGCTCCCCTGCTGAGACCCTCCGGAGATCCCTCCCATGATTATAACTATCATTAGACGGCTGTTAATGAGGAACCCTGGTGGTGAGGAGCCCGAGTAAGCGTTAAGACTGCTAACCTCAAGGCCGGTGGTTCAAACCCACCAGCCGCCTCTCAGGCTCAAGTTGAAGCTGTTTACTCCCGGTAAAGATGTACATCCTTGGAAACCCAACCAACGGTGGCTATGAGTCGGATTGGCTCTGGGCTGGTGTGTTTGGTTTGGCCATTACTATGAATAGCCCTCAGTCTCCTGGCACGAGGCGGAAAGCTACACAGTGAAAAAGAACCAGAGGAGAAGAATCGGGACATTTGAACTGTGGTATCAGCGAGAACACTGAGGATACCGTGGATGTCAAAAGAAGAAAAAATCGGAAGAAATACCACCAGACAAACTATTGAATCGTATGCTATGTGGAAGACGTGCCGATAAAAGGGTTTAGAAAGGACACAAATGCCACCAGAATGCTCCTGAGAATGCTGTGTCAAGTGTTTGCCAAGACAGAGGGGCAGGGAAAACCAGCATTTTTCTCCTTATGAGCTGGACGGACAGCATAGCCACAATCGTGGGTTCAAACGTCCCCGGGATCATCAGGATGGCTCAGGACAGGCCAACCTTTCCATTTGCTCTCTGTGAAGTCCTCCTGGGTTCATAAGAAATGACCATTCCTGTCACAGCAAACATCTGTCTGCGACTCATGTGTGCCAGGACTAGACCCATGCTCTGGGTCTATGTTACCTTATGGCCTGGCACCTGTCTCAGGTGAGGATGATGGTGATAAGTCAAGTGCTCCCGTTATCATCATGTTGGGACGGAGGCTCTTGTTCTCTTTTCAGGGCTCTGGGCCTTTGCTCTTCCTGGAAGACCTTGACCTCTTTCTCACCTGGGCACCAACCTCCTCAACCCTCAGGACCTGGTTTGAGTTTCAGGGAACATCGAAGACCTTCCTCAGGGCCTGAGCACTCTGGGTGGGATTACTAGGGGTGGGGCGCTGGGCTTTTGGGGTAGGGAGTCTTGGGGCCTAGCTCGAGGCTGACCGTGATTGGAATTCGGCGGTCACTGAAGATTCTGATAAATGTGGAAATGACACACCAGCATGGGGCTGAGGGAAGAAACAGGTATAGAGCCCACCCTGGACAGCATTGAGTTCTGCCGGCCTAAACCCCACTCCCTGACTTCCATCTAGGGCCAAGTGGCCCCTGTCCTCTCCTATTGTCTCCAGGGTGACCATATGACCCAGGCCTGGCCAATCAGAGTGTGCACACTGTGGGCGGAGGAACTGGTTCATGGTTTGGCACCTGACTCGATTTAGCCCAATGATAATTTTTGGAACAGGTAAGTCTGAGGCAGGACGCCATCTTGGCACTGCCAGTGCCTTCAAAAGAAGGAAAGGCCAAAGAAGGGGCCGGATGTCATTCTTGGAGGCCCAAGGCCAGGCAGCTTGACCCGTAGACTACCTAGTTCTGGGGCCAATCACTTGCCGATCCATTGAAGCTGTTTGGCGTTAGGTTTCTGTTCCTGTCGAGTGTGCCCGCTGCTGCCCCAAGTCCACCTTCCTCGGATCCCAGACAAGTTCCGGAACTGATCAGGGCCTCTGCGGCTACCCTGAGCTCTGCACCCTGGGTTTGCTGAGACGCAGCAGCAAGCTCAGGCGATACCCAGGGGCCTTCACCTCGTGGGGTCTGACTGGCCCCTGCGGAAAGACTGCAAGCCTGATTCAGGCTGTGCGCAGGGCTAGAACCTGCACCTTTTCTGACCTTGATGTCTATGGTTCTCCCCACGGCCCTGTGCCCACCTGACCCCGCGCCTTCACCCCGGCGCCCCAGGATTTCAGACTCCAGGGCGGGCGGCAGGGAGGAGGTGGAGGAGTGGCGGAAATCACACATGTGACATTGTGGTTATGACGGCTCCGCGTACAATGGAATGGAATGGTTCTGACCCTCAGGGACCTCATAGGACAGCGCAGGACTGCCCCATGTCAGCTGTACTTTTTCGGTTTGCAGCGTAGCCCTTCTTACCCACGGCGCCACCAGGCCTCCTTAGAACCAAGTACAGATGGGCAAGCCAGTGCTGCACGTGTCTGTGCGGCCTGTGGGCCCACGTGCGCTGCGGACTGGGAGTCACACTTTCCTATGGCATGCACGCTCACACTCTTCATGTTAAGGTGGATGCTCTATGCCGCACTGCTCCACACAGGATCCGGCGGTCCTAAATTGGGGACAGCTGGTGGGGCCCGGTGCTGTTAGACCAAAGCCAAGAGGCAAACCTTCAGAGTACCCAAGATGCCCTTCATGCCATCCACACATAATCATTCCCCAGTAACTGGGGTGCCCCCGTCATCCCGCAACTCTCCAACTGTTCCCCAACCCAATGCCCAGATGGTGCCTGTGATATAATCGCCATATAGCACCCCTCCCCCCACTTCCAGCTATGGAATAAATTTCGAACCATGCTATAAACTGTGCTTTTGGATGTCATTGAGTGCGCCCGTGCCAATGACATCACTGTCTCCATGGCAACTAATATAATTAACATGAGAGAAAGTGCAAGGAGAAAGAGAGGGGAAAGAGGGAAAACACCAATCGGCCCCAAACAGAGAAGACGGCACTGCGGGGGAGCAGGGGGCAGCGGGTCCAGAACCCCGTTTACTGAAGCTTGTTAGAGAGGCTGCAGCCTCCACTCCTGTCTGCCTTCAGGGGGGAATGAGATCATTTGCAAACTCTATCTCTACCCAAATACAGAAAGGGCTTTGTCACCTTCCCAGTTTATGGAATTGAAACTAAGCAGCCTGCTCCAGGTAAGGTGGGGACTCCTTAACCCCCCTGCCTTCCTGGTTCTACCCACACAGTCACCACCCTCTTTTCAGTGTGTGTGTGTAGGGGGCTTTATGTCGGTCCCCTCCGCTAACCAGCAGCATGGAAGGGCAGAAATGTAACCAAGTGTGAAGCTGAAAAGGGCACTTCAATGAGCCCAACACTGATCCTGGGCCATTGGGTACAGCAGTGGACACCTCTTATGTCGGTGAGACGGGGCATCTGCTTTCACTAGATGAGGTCATGGAGGCTGCCTGAGATGCCCAGCTTCCCCTTAGGCCCGGCTCTGTTGGGCCCCAAGCCCATGGTTTCAAAGCTTGGGGTTAAGCGCCAGAAATTCTACCTGGTCCTGGCTTTCACTGCACATGTGTTCTGAGTCACCTCTTGGTAAACCTCTCCATCTTCTTACCCAAGCCCCTACAGCCCTAGTCTACTTGAGAGACAGTCATCAGATAGATTCCACAGAGGGGCCATACCTGTCGGTCCTGCTCAGCATAGTCAAAGGTCATCCCCAACCAGGAGAAGTTTCAGGACTCTAGGAGGTGTGATGATTTATTGTGGGGTCTGGATGGATCCTGGAAGAGAAAAAGGGGGAACTGAAGAGATGGGAATAATGGACGAGCTTCAGTAAATGGTATCAGTGTTAGTTCATTCATTGTGACAAAGGGGGCATAACAGTGTCAGATGTTAATAATAGGGAAAGCTGGGTGCCAGGTGGGAGCTGTACTGGCATGGTGGTTAAAGGTGGGGCTGCTGTGGTAGTTTTATAATCTGCTGTCAACTTGAGACTCTGAAGAGTGAAGGGGTGGAGTTTAACCTGTCAATCAGGTTGCAGCTTGAGGACCTCATTGGGAGGCTGTACTGAGCAGTTCTCAACCTTTCCAATGCCGACCCTTTGATACAGTTCCTCATGTTGTGGTGACCCCCAACCATAAAGTTATTTTCGTTGCTACTTCATAACTGTCATTTTGCTACTGCTATGAATCGTCATGTAAATATCTGATAGGCAGGATGTATTTTCATTGTTACAAATTGAACACCATTAAACATAATTAAAGCATAGTGATTAATCACAAAACAAAACGTAATTATGTACTGTGAAATATTTATGTGTTTTCTGATGGCCTTAGGCGACAGCTGTGAAAGGGTCGTTCTGGCCCCAAAGGGGTGGAGCCCCACAGGTTGAGAACCACTGCTCTACAGAGATAAAGAGCTCACTGGAGGCCAGACCCACCCTCCCTGCTTTCATCTTCCTGCTGACAAGACACATGGAGCTACACTAGAGCCTTGAAGATGGAGGAGCCACGTGGAGACCCCTGCCATCCCTAAGATGCTTCCAGCGCCACTGGATCCACAAGACTTCCCACCCACTGGCCTGTGATTTTCCTGCATTCAGCGTCATTGCATGTGCTGCGGAGTCTACAGAGGAATTTAAAGATTGGTATTGGACATATGGGCTACTATTGGACTTATGGACTCCATCTGGACTGGGATGGTTTTTTTTTTAAATATATATACAATTACTCCCTCTTTCTCTGCAGAATCACCATGGCGGCTGGGACCCTGTACACATTTCCAGAAAACTGGCGGGCCTGCAAGGCCCTCATCGCTGCTCAGTACAGTGGGGCTCAGATCCACGTGCTCTCCACACCACCCCACGTCCACTTCGGCCAAACCAACCTCACCCCCGAATTTCTCCACAAATTCCCTGCTGGCAAGGTCCCAGCATTTGAAGGTGATGATGAATTCTGTGTGTTCGAGAGCAATGCCATTGCCTACTATGTGAGCAATGAGGAGCTACAGGGAAGAACCCCAGAGGCAGCAGCCCAGGTGGTGCAGTGGGTGAGCTTCGCGGACAGTGACATAGTCCCCCCAGCCAGTACCTGGGTGTTCCCCACCTTGGGCATCATGCATCACAACAAGCAGGCTACTAAGAACACCAAGGAGGAGGTGCAGCGAATCCTGGGCCTGCTGGATGCTCACTTGAAAACCAGGACTTTCCTGGTGGGTGACCCAGTGACCCTGGCTGACACCGCAGTCATCTGCACCCTCTTGTGGCTCTACAACAGGTCCCAGAGCCTTCTTTCTGCCAGGCCTTCCCCAATACCAACCGCTGGTTGCTCACCTGCATTCACCAGCCCCAGTTCCAGGCCGTCTTAGGGGAGGTGAAGCTCTGTGAGAAGGTGGTCCAGTTTGACGCTAAAAAGTTTGCTGAGATCCAGCCTAAGAAGGACGCCCCTTGGAAAGAGAAGGCGCCCCGGGAGGAGAAGCAGAAGGCCCAGGTGGAGCAGAAAGAAGAGAAGGCGGCCACGACTCCTGCCCCTGAGGAGATGGACGAATGAGAACAGGCGCTGGCCGCTGAGCCCAAGGCCAAAGACCCCTTTGCTCACCTGCCCAAGAGTCCCTTTGTGCGGGACGAGTTGAAGCGCAAGTACTCCAACGAGGACACGCTCTCAGTGGCGCTGTCGCATTTCCAGGAGCACTTTGACAAGGAAGGCTGGTCCCTGTGGTATGCCGAGTACCACTTCCCCGAGGAGGTGAGCCAGACACGCATGAGCTGCAACCTCATCACTGGAATGTTCCAGCGATTGGACAAGCTGCAGAAGAATGCCTTCGCTGGCGTTATCCTCTTCGGAACCAACAACAGCAGCTCCATTCCGGGGCTTGGGTCTTCAGAGGCCAAGAGCTTGTCTTTCCGCTGAGTCCAGATTGGCAGGTGGACTATGAGTCGTACACATGGGGGAAACTGGATCCAGGCAGTGAGGAGACAAAGATGCTGGTCCAAGAGGACTTCTCCTGGGAGGGGGCCTTCCAGCATGTGGGCAAAGCCTTAAACCAGG